CTGTTATCCAGTGTCATTGGTGGCTCCATGCTTGGGGTTAAGGACGGAACTTTGCTGCCCCTTCTTGGTTTCGTCCACCTCATTCTCTTATCTTGGTTTCTTACTAAGATATCAGGCGGTAGCCACGATTCCAAACGGTGATACTACCCCTGATCAGATCATTCTGGTCCCTGGACCGCGATAGATAGTGGTTTTCATTTTACGTTGTGTTAGTGAGTCATCGGCTCAACTTTAAGCAGAGCATTGAAACCAGAGTCTTAGATATTTAACTTGGGCCACGCAAACAATCTATTTTACATTTGGCTGCTCACTCGCAGCCTCGAGTCACGATCTCTATCGACCTCGTGAAGTTATACCATGCTATGGTGCGATGCCTTACTCTCCTTTGCTGATAAACGCTAAGCTTGAAGTACAGAGAGCAGTTGGAGGTGTAAAATTCCTCCATCTTCGACATAAGTTGCTAGCAAAGTAGTAATGTATTAACTTCTGGAAAGGTATTGTGCATTTATTTCTGTTATCGTTGTTAAGAAACAAGGAGACGCGATCAGCTGAGAAAGCGGGGCAACGCTGCCCCGTTGCAACACAAACTACACCTCTCTCTTCTTTCAACGAATTTGCTATCAGAGACATTGTTGTATCTATAAGTCAAATATTTATGGGATTTGCGAGATACGTTCCAGCAAGGTTGTGGGATCACTTGGTGCTACAGGATCTAAAAGTGTGCATATTTGTTCAAAATTTCCAAGCAGTATCAGGATAGCTTTTCAGGGTGTTCGATCAATAGCATGAAAGTACTTTTAGAAAAAAGTTCAAGGGAAGTAATATAGCTATCCGCGGAGCCGTCTCCTGGGCACATGCTTCTATGCGGCGTAGTGTCTCGAAAGACTTCATCCGCACTTCCGCACCCCACCTGGCACTGGGCCAAAATACAATGGTGGAATTTACTGTTTCATAAATTAATTCCGGACCTCTGGTTTTGTTGCGAGGTGTAGGATTGTTTCATTATGGCGATTGTCAGATTGCCGTAAACAAGGCGTTCAATACTAAAACTCTTTTAGTAATAATACATACATCATCATCATACATCAGCATAATAGGAAAGAGGCCAGATCGTCGGGCAGGCTTCAGAAGTCTCGCCATCTGGACGAAGCCGCTCGTTTGAAATGCTAATGAATCGGTGGACTATCGGTTTTGGCCACACAACTAACATCATTTCACACGTCCCCGACGAACATTCAAACCAGTGAACAGACTGTAAAATAAAAGAGCATATGCACATATTACGCGCGCGCTCATTCCTACATACGTGTGCACATGCCGACTCAATACAGACCCTTAGCAAGGCCAACTGCGTAGTAAAATCATACTTCGAAATACAGGCTTTTCCTAACCAAAGGATTACCAAGTGAACCACAGATACGTCAGCCATTATTTTGCTCTCGTTCTATTCATTTATAAACTTTATTGTATACGAACCATACGCATTGTTTAAACACAACTTAATCTTATTAGCGTGTACCTTCTGATCACATAATCTACGTAGAAATCACGTCAATACCTTCCACCTTTCTGAGACGATATTGTCTTCGTGTGTGTACGAAAATTGAACACATGCAATTTCACATAGCTTGGTTACGCTACGCTGCATGCTGATATACTGATGATGCCAGCACAACTAGTAACGAAACGTTTGCATCAATATTGCCAAGTTCAGCGAACAGTTCGTCCAACAAAATGGTCGTTTTTTCTACTTGCGTCGTTGGAGTAATTTCCCGGTGTATTCCGTTTGGAGCGCTTATTGTGGAATAAATTTCCGCATTCTACCTAGAAATTTTCGGTTTTGCGCAATAACAGAAGTACGCGGAGCACAACTCACATGTCAAATAAGGAAAGACAGTACGACTATGAACGGGATGAGGTTTATCGACCCAGTGGTCGAGTGCACACGACTCACGTGACGTACGTCGTAGGGCCCTATGGTTGCGGAAGAAGCCAGTAACACACACTGCGGGTGGGAAAGACAGACCAATAAAGGTGACTGAAAAAACCCCAGTTTGGTTTCTAGAACAAGAGATCAATAGATGAGCTATTGCCATTGATGATTCATCTTGAAATCCTCACAAGTAAAAGTAGCCCAGTCAGGTAGATGAACAAAAGAAAATCGCCTTGATGGCTTAAATGCATCTCAAAGAGTTTGACTCAGTGTCTTCGGCCTCCACTTGCCAGGGTAGCTGAAGAGCATGGACTAGTTTGTTAAATGAGCTTAAGGATGGTTTAAACAATCTAATACAGATGGTTTGAACCGTCGCAAGTGAAAAAGGCGTTGACCTTTCGGAAGTTGGAATAGTGTCCACTATTCTAACGACACGCTTTAGATCAACCTGGTGCCATGTGTGGGTATATGCGTCAGAATGGAGCTGCTAACGATTCCAGTGCCACTTGACGCAACCAACGTGGGCGTTCACGCGTTTGGACAAGTGTCGCACCGTTCAAATGCTATACGTTGCGCCACAGGCGCGCTCCCACTGATGGATAATCACGGAGGCGGTCAGCATCGGAATCATGCTCTTTGGTCGTGCAAAACCCATCGGTTCCGTTGAAGATGCCTACTTTATCGCAGCTGCCAATAGAGCTAATAGGAGAGCACTGGTCCTGGAACATCAACTGCATTTTGAAGCTGCGAATTTTTGGAAATTGTGGACACAACTTCCGTATAGCTACTAACTCTAGGTGCAGCCTGACAACAACCTTGTCATGTGCGGTCTATTTTGATTTATCCAAGCTGGTATATGAGCACTGCCTACGTTGGTTGCGTTAAAGTTGCAATGGGATCGATAGCAGCTCCGCTCAAGCAAGGATGCTTTTATACGCGTTAGGAAGTACTGCTTAACAAATCCTGTCGTGTGGTATGGTGGGGTTAACGAAAAAGCATCAAACAGTTAATACCTGAAGTATCAAATGTATGTCTTATCGTTTGTTATGCAATAGTCCTACACTTCGCGTGGTTTCAATACACCAGCAAATAACAGGTAATAAGTCCAAGGTAGATTTCATGAGCAGGACGGAGAGATGGTAATAATCACAATAATAATAGTATATTTCAGTTTAAGGGAGAAGCTGCGTCCATTTTGGCACAGGTACAGGTAATGCCATGCACCTGCACGCGCAACATGAGATGGCGAGGAAAAAAAACGAAAAAACCGTATATTCCTCGGCGGTGTGAGGCACAGTCCAACTGGATGTCCCGAATTTTGCTGTACGGCGGAATCGCAAGGAGTAGATGCCTTTTCCGAATTTTCCAAAGAATCCTTTAAACTCCTGTTGGCGCACATGGCTAATTGATCTGTTAACTCTTTCGGACTGATTAGGAGGTTGTCAAAAAATAATAAGCGTAGACTAATGTAGATACAAAAGTGAAGTAGCACAACCATACATGGAACCGTCGCCTGGGGACCTACTTCCATGCAGGTTATTCCCTCCATGGGTTTCACCCGCACTTCCATGCCCCATCTGGCATGGTAAGCCATTACCTATGTAACTCATCTTTAGGGTTGTTTTTCTGTGGATGTATTGCGGAAAGTCAAACCATCTAGCCCGTACCATCAATCGGTTTTTGAGTCAAGCATTCGTTTCTCGCCAGCGAACCAATGGCCATGCCCCTAGCATGGGCATGCTTATTAGCGCTAGGGTCTTTAATCCAATTCCGCATATCGAACCAGTCGTGCCTAACAGGGATGTAAAAGACGAAGATAAATGATGTGGAGGCAGAAGGTAGGAACAGTATTGAGATCTGATAAAAAGGCACATGTTTTGCTTCTGTGCAAGAAAAATCTATAGATCAACTGGTACATGCGAACTATTAAAAACTGATGACTGCTCTAATTATCGATATATGCAAGACAGTTCTGGTGGCGAATTTTGATATTCACCATCATTTGCATGCGTTCGAAAAATACAGAAATTGATAACGCTGAGCAGTGAGACTTGCTATCTGTTCATGGACTATTGCCTCCGGGAAAGAAGAAGCAATATTTGAGATTACATTAAGAGTGTAAAAAAGAGACTGATAGGTAAACAAAAATAAAACAATAGTTGCAATCTAAATAGTGCGAGACACGGACCATGTGGTTAATCCGATCGAATTTGCACTTGGATTGTCAAGAAGGGTTTACATTCGCTGCGTTCGTAAGTAAAGTGTTAATGGGCCGATGTTTCAGCGGTTCAACCATATGGGGCAGTCCAAGTGTGTAGGAAGTGATACCGATGGGTTTCAGTAACCAACCCGTAGTTTGTTCGTTAATACCTCCGCACAAAATATCAGTTAGTTCGAAATGCGCAAAGGGGTTATTTGTGAATACAAATTGTGGTAGAATTGGGTTGACCTCGAATCAGCCAATTTTGTCATTTGC